CTAGTTGTAGGTAGTATTGACTTTTTGAGACCAGTTATTTCCAAGTAAGAGATTATAAGAGGTAGAATCTATTACTTTTACATCTAAAAGAATCATAATACCTTCAATTTCTATAGGAAAGTCCTTGATTATTCCTAAGGATCGAACAGAAAGTCCTGTTGCAGAGACAATTAAACTAGTAGAGTAAGTATCAATTTTGAGTCCTAGCATTTTAACTATCTCATATGAGATCATGCTAATAGAGGCACCACTATCAATGATAACTTGGTAAGGTTGGTTTCTAGAATTTGAGCATAATTACATAAAATCGCATAAACTCGAAGCATATTTTGCGTACTGGAGCAGAATCATAGAATTTACATACCAGTAGAATCAAAGCACCCTGAGGAAATCCGATTAGACAGATAGCATATATATATATATAAGTCGCGCAATAACAAAGAATTCACAGAATTTGTAACATGATTTTAAAGAAATTATCGCATAATTTCGCATAAATGACCAGACAGATTTTTAGGTCCGCCACCGCAGATTTTTGTATCCCTATGACCGACCGACCGCAGAGGGTAAAACGGTCAAATTACCAAAATAATTCATAGTATTTGTGTTTAATTAAACTTTATTTTTAATAATAATATTTTAAAAATATATAGTAATAATAATTTAAAAATATTTAATAATTTAAAAATATTTATAGTTAATATCGTATACATCATATAGTAAACTATTGCCAAGGAAAAACCCAGCGGGAAAAAACCTTTTCGATAATATACCATAAAAAATATTAAAAATAGATAAAATATTTAAAATAAAAATATATCAATATAATAATTTTCTATAACTTAAAAATTAATAAAAGTTGAAAAAGATCTTGAACAGAAATGGCCGACTTCATAACTATTTAGTGATGTTGTAACTACCACCAAAATATCTTTGATGACATTCACTTTCTGTTGGTGATTCATAGGAATAAGAACCATATAAAACAAGTAAATTATCCTGACTGCGAGGGGAGTAACAGGTCTGATTGCCACGTATAAGAAAGTATTCGTCATCCGGTTCTGAAATAAGCTTTTCATTTGAGTTTTCTCTGCAGTGTTGATCGTAGACCATGCTCGAATTAACGCATGAATTGGTATTTTCAGTTGCAGTTGATTTATTTTCGGCTGTAATCGCTTCAAAATAATTAGGTCGTAAAGATTTTGCAGAGTTCAAATTAAAGGGTGAATTTGTATTTTCGGCCGCAGTCGAATTAAAATAGTTGGGTTGTAACGATTTTAATGAACTCGAATTAAAGTGTGAATTTATGTTTTCGGCTGCAGCTGATTCAATATGTAAAGATTTCACAGAGTTCGAGTTAAAGAGTGGGTTTGTATTTTCGGTTGCAGTCGATTCAAAATGGTTGGGTTGTAAAGATTTCAATAAGTTCGAATTAAAGTGAGAATTTGTATTGTCTGCTGTAATCAATTCAAAATAGTTTGATTGTAAAGATTTTAAAGAGTTTGAGTTAAACCATGAATTTGTATTTTCGTCTGCGGTCGATTCAAAATAGTTGGGTTGCACCGATTTGACAGAGTTCGAAATAAAGTGTGAATTTATATTTTTGGATTGCACCAATTTCACCGAGTTTGAAATAAAGTTCGAATTTGCAATGTAGTTTGGTTGTAATGATTTAGCCTTCTTTCCCCTCTTTTTACCTTTAATACGAATGCATGGCTTGGTTTTGCAATTGAAACAGACTTTTTCATTGTCACATTTCTTATGAGTCAATCTACAATTCGTGCAGGCAGTAGTAACCTTACTCATTATTTAAGATGAGTTAAATGTCGAAAGATCAAAGGTGTTGGAGTTCTAAATTTAATATTTAAGAAAATTAAAACTTCTAAAGAATAAATAAAAACTTGATGTTTTCGAGTGAGAATTAAAACTTCTAAAGGACGAATCAAACTTACTGTATTTTTATTTTAGGTTGGCAGAGGAGAAAAGGCTTATACAAAATTCTTATAAAAATTACGTATTGAAAAAAAGTGTAGATATAGGAAGTTTTTGTCTACTTTATAACTTTTTTTTCTTTTATTATTTCAAAAATTAAATTAATAATCATGGGACTATTAGATTATACAAAAGAGTGAATACTTGCCTAAATAAGAAAAAATGTAAAACCCTTATGTTGGGCAGGGAAAATTTACTAATATTAATATCATCGTTGATTATTGGTTCTACTGTATAAATTCCGAAATCAAATCTTATCTATACATACATTACAATCAGTGATGGCAATTTTTCCGGCCAGCAACTAAGTATTCAATATTTTTTTTTGGCAGGGAAAATTGCCAACACTAATTACAATATAATTATGATTTATTTTTTATTTATTTATTCCTTCTAGGATAAAACAATGTTTTGTTTCCATAATTGCCAAAATTACTTGGCCGTTGGGATTTTAATGAGAATCATGGTATAAGATAGGTCTTTAAGAATAGTTTTTTTCTGATTTTGTTTGAGTCTTCTCATTTGGTTACTTTAATATGGGAATTTACTCTTTATATAGTTTACAGAATGCTAGTATGTTTTTCATGTTTCAATCAGCATAAGCACGCGAAATTAGATGTTAAATGGACTCAAAGACTTTATTCATATTATTCTTATATGAAAATTTAATAAATAAGCATTGAGTTATCAAATGTGATCTAGAGATAGTGATGATCTAGAGATTAATCTTATCTTTATTGCCTGTATTGTATAGGGATGTTAACGGTCACGACCGTGACCATTAGCATCTCTCTTTGTCTGAATTCGTACAAATAAGTTATTTTGGTTTTCCATTACCTTAAATTATTTATAAATAAGATAATCTCGTGTTATTAAATTTAGTCTAATATTCCGTTAACGTTGTATAGATGCATCTATTTGTTCAGATAATGATCAATCATTTACCTTGACACATTGGTGTAACTTTGTATTCGGAAAACATCCAATTTCAATTCCAACGGTTACTATATATCTTAAAAGCTTAGTCGAATGTTCATGGCTTATGTAAAATAAAATGAGATTATAACGAAATATAATGTCAGCTATATTGGAAGTTTTTTGTGGTATTAATGACAAGGTATTATCTTAAGAAATATCAATATCAACCATGATCTTTAATAATATATATATTCTAATAAATTTGTTCAGGATTATATACTAAACTTAGTAAAGACAGTTCAGATGTATCACCGGTAGAAAAGTGGTATTTTTTACTAGATAATATATTATTATTAAAATATGGTAATTATATTTAAATATTGTCTATTACCCAGTAATTAAGTAAAGATTTGTACTATATTTCCCTTAAATAACAACCCAGATAGCTATTATAGAGTTTTTAAAATGTACATTAAAGTTTTTAAAATTATTAAACTTAA